ACTGGTTAAACAAGTTTGTCAGGCATCCCTCCTCTTGAGGCTAGATCAGGGTGACTCACCTGGAGTTGTGCTGCAGGGAGATTGACATCAGCCACCATCTCTGTACAAGGATGCTCCACCTGTAGCCGAGGATTCAATTCTAGAAAGTAGAAGCTGCCATCCTGGCTGTACAGGTATTCCACAGTCCCAGCACTCACATAACCAACCATTTTGGCAAGTTTCACCGCACACTCAAAGAAGAAAGACAAGCAAACATAAGTTTCTCACATTGTCCAACTATTGGACTACTCCAGCCTTTCCCTGATTTAACTATTCAGTGTTTATAAGAGCCACCAAAGGCTTTTAGCCACATTGGAACAAATGTCACACTTTCAGATAATTATACAATATCCCTGGACATGATGAAAAACTCAATGAAAAGCTGGAAGAAAACAGAATGTTTTTCACTTTGCATCACAAGCAACTCCACCTTATCAGACAAAAGTGCACAAAGGCAAAAAAACAAAAAAACAAAAAACAGTGGTAGAATCTTCATTGTCCCTTAGTTTCCAATATTCCCAGTATTCTCTTCTTCCTGGAAACACAGCTATCTAGCTGGAGACTAGATTTTCCAACTTCTCTTAATAGCTAGTGACTAAGTTTTGACCAACAGGATATCAGCATTGGTGAGTGATATGCATAATCCCTATGTCATATTTTGAAAAGGAAATTGTTTATCCTTTATTGCTGGCTTTTCCCCTTGTTATGCACTGGAACATCATAATGATGGCACAAGCCAGTTTTAACCACACAGATGAGAACATACTAAGAATGGCAAAACAAAACAGAAACAACTGAATCCCAAGATGGCCTCATGGAAGAGAAATGTCCCATCAGCTCTGAAAAGCTCACCTCAGACTATGATGGGAAAGAAAAATAAACTTCTATTAATATTTTATTTGAGTCACCATATTTTTTGGATATTTTTATTATAGCCGCTTTACCTGTATCCTAATCAACACAGAAATTATTAACTGCAGGTAGAATGCTGCTGTTTAAAAAAATTAATATATATGATGCCAGTTTAGCAAAAGGGTGGGGGGTAGCAAGGAAACAGATACTGCAGGCTGGAAAGCTGGTGACCTTCTTGCTATGGCATAACACAATAGTAAACTGTTTCCTGCAATAACTTGGAACACCAATCACACACCAACTAAGCTTTAAGAAAAATGGTTTGAAAGGATCAGAATGTTGAAAAAACCAACTGCTTTTGTACCCCAAAAAACAGAAAATTAGATTCTTACCCTAAAGCAAGCCAGAGTCAAAGATCAGATTAAGGGTGCTGCTTTAGTTTCAGCTGGCCTCAAGGTAGCTAACACCAAATCGAGGAGAAAGAGATGGGCTAAGTATAGAAGCCAGTAAATAATAGAAGAAAAGTTTCTATACCTAGAAGAAATCTTTAGGTATGGTTAATCTAACCTCAAGCTGATTGAAAGCAAATAGCCCAGAAGCTTAGTAAGTTTTCAAAGGAATTGTATTTATAAACAAACCACAAGCCTGGCCTTCAAATGCCTGTGACTGATGATTAAAGTAATATTTGTACCCCCAATCCTGCATCAGCAGCAAGTGGGCTGTGAAAGTTCTGCTAAAGAAGGCATATTCTACAAGGCCCAATTCACAGAGAAAACTGAATAAAGAAGAACTTCCCAGAGAACAAAGTTAGGTATCTTAAAGAATAATGGACAAGGGATTTACTCCCAAGTAGCAGAACAAGGGGCAGACAGAAGGTCTAATAGAGGTATTACTCCACCATACAGCAGAGAGTCATTACAATTCCTGCCCAGAAGGATTTGATAACTGCTATGGACCAATGATTGCTATGTATTTTTCCTTGTTCCAAATGGTAGTTATCCTGTTCCTATTGCACCACTACATATTGGGTGTAGGGTGGCAGAATAAGGGGGAAGGAATGACAAGGGGTAGATAACTTGTATTTTAGGCTACTGGCTAGTGAAAAGCCACATACACATCCAGTGGAGAGGAATGTACATCACCTAGAGATCTTAAATCACCTAGAAATCTAAGATTTCTAAGTAACTGTAGTAACTAGTAGTAACTGCACAGGACTTCAGACTGTCTTCCCTGGGGAAAGGATAAGTATGTCCTAGGAGCAGGAAAAAGGATGTGAAAGAATAATGGGTAGCCAGAGGAACAGACAGAGGCACAGGTTGTTAAAAGCCCTCCAGAAACTTTACTTTACTTCATTCTTTTAGGAAAAAAAATCTCCTAAATTCTAGCTGAGCACATGGTCACCCAGTTAGTGACTACGATTCCTAACATTCTTGACACTAGGTATGACTGTGTAACTGAATTTTGACCAATGGAATGTGAGAAGCGACATGTGTCACTTCCAAATCATGTTTCTATATGCTTGTCCTCCATGTCCTCTCTCTCCCCCTCCCACAGGCTACAATGTGAACACGATCTTGTAAGTTAGCTTCATCATGAAGATGATGACACTGTCCAAGGGCAAAGGTTGACATTTTTGGTAAAGAGCCAGATAGTAATTATTTAACTTTGTGGGCTATAGAGTCTCTGTCACAACTATTCAACTCTGCCATTGTAGCAATAAAGCAGCCACAGATAATATATAAATTATAAATAAATATGATTGTATTCCAATATAATTTTCTTTAACAAAAACAGGCAGCATATGAGCAATAAACCTGGATCTCTAGCACCAGCTCATTTCTGAACTATGATGAAGGGAAATAGATTTATACCTCATTTAACCACTATTGGAGACATCTTTATTACAGCAGTTCAAGAGTGCATCCTAATACACACACACACCCCATAGGAAATAAACTTCCAATACACACAACCATATAATTAGCTTGTTTGGAATTCAAAAGAAAGAAGAGGTGGAAAATATATTTCCAATAAGATGAAGACAGCTTATGATTCAAGAAAAGTCCATTTTCAGACCCCTAAACTACAGCTATTTCCAAGCCACCCTTCCTGACCCTGGGAAATTCTTTTCTATACGAAAATACAGACTATGTGAACTTTAAAGATACTTAAAAGATTTTTCCTAAAGATAATGGACTTGATTAAAAATCCCAAACGTTTCTCTCCTTCATCCCTAACTCAAAATAGTACATAGATTTTTTAAAAAGTGTTAACTATTTTTAGAGCTTGTAATGTTCCTAGACAATTTTCCTACAGGGAGAATAGCAGAATATTTTTTCTTCTAGAAAAGGGATATAATCTTTATCAATTAATTATTCAGAATCATTATTTCAAATTCCACTATTCTCAGATTGGAACATGATCTGAATGAAAAGTGTTCTGTATAAGAAAATAGAAATTAAGACTTTTAATATACATACCTGTTCCATATGTTCAAATACTGCTGGAGTAGCAATAGCAGCAGGTGCCTCTTCAATAATCTTTTGATGCCTGCGCTGTACGGAGCAGTCACGACCAAACAGAGAGATAGCATTGCCATATTGATCTGCTAGGATCTGCACCTCCAGATGACGAGATTGTTTGGCTAGTCTCATTACAAATATAGGAGATCCAGGGACTTCAGCTTGAACCTATATTAGAAAAGGAAATAAGACAAATTCTTGAGTGGTAAATATCTTTTCTATCGTGATAATAAGCTGCTTTGATTTCAATAAGCAGATGTCCAGAAGTGTCATGGACCATGTTAATCAGTAGGAATATAAAAATGAATAAAACATAGCCCATGCCCTCATCTTTAATATCTTTAAGATGTTGCATTCTTAGTTATATAACCAATATTAATTAATGAATATGAAAACACATAAACAACCAGTGTGTTACAGGGTAAACAACAAAATATTTGAAAACACAACATACATACACACAAATCCCACAACAGAGCAAAATATTGCTGCCCACTCTGTACAGCCAAATGTACAACTTGCTCCAGAATAGATACGGTCCTGGTCCACATTACATCATGTATAATATTGTTTCAGTCAAAGGACTTTCATCTTCAGTTTTAAAGAACATTGTCACTGGGTACAGAATCCCACACTGGTAATTTATTTTTTTCAGCACTTCAAAGATATCCCAACGTTTTCTGGCTTTCACTGTTTCTACTGAGATGTCAACTGTTATTCTTATTGTTACTCCCTTGAAAGTAATCTTTTTTCCTCCGGTTGCTTTAAGATTTTCCTCTCTCTTATTTTAGTGGTGGAGGTGGAGTGGCAGATTTACTCTGATAAGCTTAGGTGTCGTTTTCTTTGTATTTGTCCTGCATAAGGCTCAGAGTGCTTTTTGAATCTGTGCTTGGTATCTTTTATGAGTTTAAGGAAATTCTTAGCCATTATCTCTTCAAATATGGCTTCTGCTCCATCATTTCTGCAAATATTGCTTCTACATTTCTTGAAATACAGCTTCTGCTCCATTCTTTCTTTTCTCCTCTGAGACTTAAAGTACATGATGTTGGATCATTTCACTGTACCCCATGTGTCTTTTATGCTCTGTATCTTTTTGCTCTGTTTTGCTATGTAACAAGTCACCTCAAAATTCAGTGGCTTGCTTAGAACATCAACCTTTTATTTGGTCATCATGCTGTGCTCATCTGAGTAGTTCTTCTCCAGGTCTTACATGTACGTGCATATCATCATCTGGTGGCTTGAGAGGGGCTGATTGGTTTTACTCACATGTCTGGTGATTTGTGCTGACTGTTGGCTGGTAAGTCTAGGGAGCCTCAACTGGAATAGCTCATCTCTGCTGCATGTAGTCTCTCATCCTCCAGTAGGCTAGACCAGGCTTCTTTAGTGCAGTTTTCCAACCAAGTGAGGGCAGAATCTGTAAGGTCTAGGCTCTTGAGGTCTAGGCTCTAGAACTTACACATTACTTTGGCCACATTCTAATAGTCTGAGCAAGCCACAAGGCCAGCTAAGATTCGAGGGTTGGGGAAATAGATGCCACCTCTGAATGGGAGGGACAGCAAAGTCACATTACATACAGAAATGGGAGGAGTTATTGTGGCCATCTCTGCAAACAACCTACTATAGTCTACCCTCTGGCCACAATAATTCACGTACCTCCCACATGCAAAATAGACTCACCCCCTCCCAAGACCCCCAAAGTTTCATCCAATCATGGCATCAGGCTTGACGTCCATTTTCTCATGAGTCATGTCTGGACGAAAATGTGCTTCCTTGGGTGCAGCTCCTCAGTTAGAGTTTCTCTTGATCCAAAGACCTGGGAACTAAGAAAACAAGTTATCTGCCCAACACTCCCAGCATTTAATGATGAGATTGGGAGAGGATAACCACAAAAGAGACTCCTGTTCAAACAGGGGAAGATGGGAAGGAAGATGGGAGGTACATAGCAGTCACTGGTCCACGGCAATTCTGAAATCCAAATAGGTACATGTTGTTGGGTTCCCTTACTCCAGGGGCAGTGAATTTTTTTTTTTTTTATTAGGGTCTAGTTGGTCCCTAATCCATGGTTCCCTCTGCTCTTAGCTCTGCCCTCTTGGTTCCTGACTCCACTCTCTGAGAAATCTTTTTATTAGAAATAACTGATGTTTTAAAGCTGAATAGCTTTCTTAACCTGCTTCCTGCCCATAAAAAACAGAAGGTCCAGAGGTCTCTTTTCATTTTGAACAGTTTCTGGTCCTTTTGGTACATTCATCAACACAAATCTCTTGACAACTCTGTGGGTTTCCTATGAATCATACCGAGGTTCAGTTCTTACCCCAAAAGCCACATCCATAAATCTCTCTATACTTTGGGCATGTCAGGCTACTGTGGGACAATGCCCTTAAGATTCTTAGAAGCACATTTTCCTAGCTGAGTGGGTTATCTATCACATACTGCCTTAAATATTTCTGAGGTCTTAAAGTCACAGGTGCTTTGGACTTGGTCTTTACTCTGAAACATTTTTACTTTGCAAATGTTTTGTCAGCTGGAGAGACTGGAAACGAGAAATAGTTCTATTTCCAAACCTAAGAAGTTCTGGGTCCTTTACATTTCCACTAAATTCTGCTTGCAAAGAAAACATCTTCTGCAGCTCATGTTTCTTTTATACTTTCTTAGCATAAGCAACTAGAATACTCAACAGATACCTTATAATACCTCGAAAGTACTAGAGATCTGCTTAACCAGATCCATGACTTCATTAGATACATTCTCTCTCTTCTAAGTTACCTCAGAGAACATTTTGCTAATTGTTCCATCATTAAAGAACATGGGCTATCTTTTTTCCAGACTCTAATAACAATTACATCACTATTTTTCCAGCCTCCACTAACAGTTTGTTCTTCATTCCTCTAGATTTCATTAACATACTCCTCACCATTTTTCCAGCCTCCAACTATAAGCCAGTTTCAAAGCCAATGCCACATGTTTTTACTTTTTTTGTTACGGCAGTATCACACCTTTAGGTATCAATTTCTGTGTCAGTTATCCAATGATATATAACAAACTACCAAAAACTGAGTGACTTGGGCAGCAATCATTTTATTTTATCTGCTCATGATTCTGTGGATCAGCATTTCAACTGGGCTCAGTTGAGCAGTTCTGCTGGTCTTGCCTGGAATCACTCATCCAGCTGTAGTCATCTAGCTGCTTGACGGGTTGGATGGTCTAATATGGTCTCACTTACATCTCTCAAGTGTGGTGCTGTCAGCTAGTAGTTGTAGGAGGCCTTATCTGGGACAACTCATTCTGCCTCATGTGACCTCTCTTTCTCCAGCAGGCTAGAACAGGCTCTTCACATGGGAGTCTGAGGTCTCATTCCAAGACGACAAGGGCAGAAACTACAAAACCACTTGTAGTTTAGGCTTTAGAAGTTGTACACCATTTCTGCCACATTGCAATGGCCAAAACGCGTCACAAGGTCAGCTAAAATTAAAGGGGTGGGAAAAAGGACTCTACCTCTTGATAGGAGGAGCTGCAAAATCATACTGTACAGGTACATGGAGATGGGAAGGGCTATCAGGGCCATCTTTGCAAATAATCTCTCACATTTCTCTTTTCTATGTTTTTCATCTTTTTGTCTCTCTTCATGCTTCAGTCTGAATTTTCTTCTGATCTATCTTCCAGTTAATACTTCTCTCTTCAACTGTACCTAATATGCTATTAAACTCCTATATTGACTTAATTTTAGTTATTATATTTTCAGTTCTAGAGTTACTTGTTTCTTCTTTATGATTTCTAGTTCTCTGCCAAAATTCTCAATCTTGTCTTTAATTTCCTTGAATATATTAAGCATAGTTACTTTCAAGTCCTTATCTGATAGTTCCATTATCTAAATCCTCTGTGGGTCTCTTTCTACTGACTTTTGTTTTACTTGTTTTTCAATCATCTAATTTTATGTGCCTGCTTATTTTCAATTGGATGCTTGATAGACCACATGAAAAATTAGTAGAAATAATTTGAAGTTCTGGATGTTATCCTTCTCTGGAGAGGATTTACATTTGCTTTCTGCAGGTGGCTAGGGGCACTAGCAATCCTATGACATCTTGCTTCCATCAGAGGTTGAGTGTTTTGGAGCTGAGATTTAGTCCCTGTAAGGTCTATTTTCCATTCCCTTCTCTCCTGCAGAATAATCCTTCAGGATTCCAACCTAAAATGTGGGAGATTTCCCAGGGCACCCCTCCTTAGCAAGCCCTTAATCTAAATTTTGTCCTTTTAGTCTTTTAAGACTATTGAAAACTAATCAGCTTTTCAGCTGCTTCTTCTTAAACTAGAAGATATCTCTAGGGGAAAAGTGACCTCAAATGCCAGGATCACATCTCTGGGTTTCCTTTTTCTCCTGTATGTTAGCCCCATAATTCTTCACGGTATTGAAAAGTCTCTAATGATTTTTTTTTTAATCTGGTCCAGTTTTTCTAGCTTGTTCCCAATGGGAGGATTGGTTTGAGTATTTAGCTAACCAGTATGAGAACTTAAGGACTTTCACATAAAACCTCCTCTTAGTGTTCTAGACTCTCCCACTCACTATTTGACTCCATAGTAACAAGTAGTTTTGAAATTTCTACAGCAGTTAACATTAATTAACACTTTTTATTTTTTATTTTGCTTCTAAGAGAAAAAGCCTTTTCTCTAGATTCCATAAGGCATTGATCTAAACTATGAAATTAGAGTTTACAGAAATGTTAAAATAAAAAAAAGACTGAGGTAATATTCAACTTCTAACACTCAAAATAGGATAATACAGCAAGACAATACCTTTATCATTTCCTTTGCCTTGTTTAGCTCCTTGACTTATGATGGAGTTTTGTTCCAATAAACCCATTGTAAATTGAATATTAAAACACAAAAATGCATTTAATACACCTAACCTACCAAACATCATAGATTAGCCTCACTTATTTTAAACATGCTTAGAACACTTACATTAGCCTACAGTTGGGCAAAATTATCTAACCCCAAAGCCTATAATGTAAGTGTTGAATATCACATGTAATTTACTGAATACTGTACTGTAAGTGAAAAACAGAAAACTGCACAGGTACTTAAAGTATGGTTTCTACTGAATGTGTATTGCTTTTGCATCATTGTAAATTCCAAAAATTTTAAGTTGAATCATTTTAAGTTTGGCACCATCTGTATATCAAGTCATGGAAGACTCAGCTCATAGTTTTTCTCTTTAGTTTTTGATAGTAAAGCAAGAAGTTTGCTCCTGAATGGTTTGGAAAAAAAGAAAGCAAATAAAAGGTAACATAGGACACTAGTAAGAGATGGTGCAAAGTAGAAGATGGTGGGAAAATCAAGAAAAAGAGGGAAGCTAGGAGAGTGAAAAGGCCAAACCTGTGTCCCAGTTTTCCTTGTTTTGACACATCTTTTACCGAGTATTTGTAGGATAAAAAAAGAAGTGAGTCAAGTATGTAAAGGTAACTCTGAAGGCAGAACAAAAGAGACCCCTATCTCCTTTTTCTCCCTCTATTTAAAGTTCTGAAAAGACATCACTTCTTTGGCTGCATCTATAACCAATGTATAGTATGGCCACATCAACTTGACTGCAAAGCAGAAGGTAAGGCAGAAAGGGATCCTAGGTTGGGCTTTCCTGAGCCACTCTCAGTTCTCACGTAATGTGGGTCTGCTATAGAGTTCCTGTGCCAGGATGTGGTGGCCATGCAGCACAGCCTACGGTGTAGACTGCTGGGCCAGTGGGTAGATGGGACCACATGGTGGAAACTCAGGGACCAATTTGAACTGAAGTAAGATAAAGCCAATCAGAGAGCCTGGGCCTGACCAAGCCAGAGCAACCAGATCAATATCATACCACCACACCACACACTTTATCTACAATGTCAGCAGGAGTACAAAAATGTAGAAAGGCACTGATTTTTCCTTGTCATTATGAGATCCTATGAACCATGTGCACCATGGAGGGATGATCTATCTGAGAAACTGAGCATGTTTCTACAAAAGAGAAAAATTCTACTGTTGAATTACCTAATTAAATAAAACTTAAATTGAATTGGACATTTCTTGTAACTGTTTTCCCCACTAATAAGGAGGTGGAGACTAGAGAGAAAGACTAGATTAATTATAGACAAAATTAAAAACTAAATATTTTCCGGATATCCAAATTATAGTATGAGTTAAATCATGTATCTCTGGTATACACATTGGTTCAAACAAACACAAATAGCTTGTACTCTACCTGTCGGAAAAGGTTAGGGAAGTCATCTGCATTATTGACTTTTCTGATTCCCTTCCCTCCACCTCCTTCTGAGGCCTTGATCATTACTGGATATCCTACTTCCTCTGCTGCCTTCAAGAAAAAAGAAAAAAATAGGAGAAAGAGTATTACTAGCAGAGAAGGAGAAAACGGGCATTTTCTCCCTTTAGAAATGCAGTCATTTAGTAAATCTACATGTAGTAAAACAGAAAGATCTTCAATATATACTATCAAGTGAAACAATATTTTAAGTATTAGGTTGAACCAAAAGGAATTGTCTTTTTTATAGATAAAAAAAAGTTGAGGCCGGGCGCGGTGGCTCACGCCTGTAATGCTAGCTCTCTGGGAGGCTGAGGCGGGTGGATTGTTTGAGCTCAAGAGTCCGAAACCAGCCTGAGCAAGAGCGAGATTCCGTCTCTACTAAAAACACAAAGAAATTAATCAGACAACTAAAAATACATAGAAAAAATTAGCCGGGGATGGTGGCGCATGCCTGTAGTCCCAGCTACTCGGGAGGCTGAGGC